AAAGAGAAAATCAGCCCAAAATAGGGTGTGATTTTTATATGAGGAAAAGAAAAATACAATTTTTGGCACCCAAACAATGGGGGTGCAACTATTGAGGTGGTGAGTATTACGCAATGAAATATGATAGTTAGTGGTGGAGAATTGCTTAATATGCTTCCCATTCATAATACATGGTTTTAAAATTTAAATAAAAAATGTTGTTAATGTTGGGGTTCAACCTGAGTTTGAACTTGAACCTGATTCTCTGTTTGTTCCTCCTGATGCTAATGAAAGTATATTTACTGATGCTAGTGGAAATGTACCTTTTGATGCCAATGCTCCTGAAATTAGTGAGGAAGAAACTGCTGTAGGTTTGGAAAATGCCAATGTTCCTGAAATTAGTGAGGAAGGAACTTCTGTAGATTTGGAAAATGAAAGTACCAGTGTTCATGAGAATGTTTCAGAGGGAGACCTTGAACTTTCCCTCCCTTCTGCACCTGTTAACTGTAATGACAACAGAAGGGGCCAAATTTGGGAAGACAGAAGTAAATCACTCAGTTTGCGTCGATCCTCCCGAATTCAAGAATTAAAAACATTGGCTTCAAAACAGAAGGGCGGTTCACGGAACCAATTCTTGAGTTTTAATTGCAATACACCGAGCTGATTGTCTCAGTTCAGGCATCGTTTCAGAATTGATGAAGACCTTGGCAGTTCTCCCGGTTCCCTGGCCATAGTTTGGGAAGATTTCTAGGATATCAAGTACGGTTAGTGGATTGCTAACAGATTCCAGTATTTCCCAGTGAGGCTTTTGGTTTTGCTTTGTCCATTTAAATTCATGTTTGCTGATTTTGCTGTGGCTTTTGACTTGCATTTTTCCTTTATTTTGTAACCATTTTTCTTCAATAAAAAAGGATTGTTTTTCACAGCCAAGTGTGGTGGATAGTTATCTTAGGCCTCGTTCTCTGCTCTGGATTGCAACATCTAGATAGCCCCTCACCATGGTTAGGAAATAATTGAGGCTCCCGGCTTCACCTCCAAATTCGACTCTCAACTCCTCCCTTCTCTGGTGGTGGAGAAGGGGCTGCATCTCCCGGCTCTCTGCTCGCAGTGGTCCTCCCTGGAGCCCATGCTGCTCCGGGGCAATCCGTATCGCCCTGTGCCGGGCACCAGAAGCGTCTGCTGGGACGTTAGCGTTAGGCCCCGCGGTTGTCTTTCCTCCTCATCACTCTCTGCCCCGGCTCTCCAACTCGCCTGCGTTTTAGGCTGTGCTCCGGGTCCCCGGTCGCTCCTCTCCTCTGCACTCCACACCGATTCCCCCCGGGGTTGTGGTTCCTCTACCAAGGGGGCCAGCCGCTCCATCACCCTCGACATCACTGCGAGGGTGGTTTCCATGGCTGCCACCTTTTCCTCCAGATACTCCATCCTCTGCGGAGAGGGGAAGTCTAGCCCACTGCTTTCTCTCGCTGCCGCCTCTGCCCCCTTCACTCGCCTCTGGGTCACCCCGTTGGGCCGGGCATAAGCAGTCGATGAAGCCAAGGCAGCCACTCTCTCCAGCTCCTCCTCCGCATTCTCGAAAGGGGAGTCCGGCTCTCCCTCTGCCGCTGGATTTCCTCCTGTTCCATAAGGGTACCTCACCGCAGCCGCGGGATGGTACCGGCAATCCTGGCTTAATGTAAGCTCACAGCAGCCGCTCCCAATAATGACACAGGACGCCAATCCGTAATCAATCAGGAACTTTTACTGCTGGACATTCATACACGAAGAAAGCCAGGATTGACCGGCAGCCGCGGGTCAACCCTTATATACCCTCCCTCACAACTGAACTCCCCTTTCCCGCCAACTGAAAGTCCCGCGCAATATTCCCCGCCAAATGCCAACTGCTTCCCCCCAAGTCCACCAGCTGCACATTCTTATCAGCATCACATGTCAGGATCCTGGTTTTTTGCGCCAAGACTCAAGGCCTGGAAACCGGTTCCTGACACCTAATAATATGACTTGAACTTCATCTGCAGTTTCTATGTACAGAATGCATTTTGGGAGGAGCATTCCTTAACTTTACCTAACACCAGGTTAAACTACATTAACCCTGTTTTAGGGACTGTATATCCCTGTACATCAAGTAGATGCCCAGGAACAACTTCTTGCCAAAGTTGGGGTATATGTCCCATTGAGATGGGCCCTTGAAAATTCTCAAGAGACATGCATGCATTAAAAATATTATTTTGGGGTTTGTTTTTTTTAAACGGTCAACTCTCCAATTTGAAGATATCTAGTTAGACATGAATTTCAATTAATTACTTTTTTGTAACTTAGGATATGATACCTCAATAAAGTACAGGTGTTCATGCAAAGAAATATCAACAAAGAGTTCAATGCAGCCCCGTTCTTCATTGTGTGCATTGAATTAACTTTGCCAAGGCAAAGGAGACTGGATGTGGATACATGTGCACGCCTATTATTCTTTGTAATGGTCCAGTGTTGCTACTCTTTGCACATATATGAACATGCACCAAGTTTGGTAAGAGGATAACAGACTTGTATCAATTCCAGCTCACTGGCTAGAATGAGATCAGTATCTTTATCTAAACCACTCCTGAGACTATTAGTGACCAGACTCCATGACTCTTCAGTCTCGAAAAGGGAAATCATTGCAGTTAAGATAAAAAGGTGTTGCTTGAAAGAGCCTTATGAATGGCGAGAAAGAGGGAGATGACTGAGGTTCAGGGCTAAACTATTAAGTAATAACGTACTAGTCAATCCTTCAATTATCCTACAGGTGTTATTCAGTTTTCAAAAGTAATTCTCTCTTCTGGACATTCTCATTTACATGGCTTCAATTTCATCCCCTCTCTTGAATGCATAAATCTCTTGCTGCTGCTTTAAGATTATGTGACCTAACATAATACATTTTGGTTAATGATAATCCATATGGGAATATAAAGAGGTGACATAATTTAAATAGTAAAAAGCACATTACGCAAAAATGATCACTAACATTATTAGCTAACCATATGCACTGGAATAAAAAAAAATCACTCCTTTTGAGTATTTTAGAACATCTCATTAAAGAATCACCTGGAAGTATATTTTACAAAATATTTCTTTATAGACTACTCAAAGCCAATGAATCCAGGGAGATAAAAATTGAGAATGGAACTACCTATAAAGACAATATGAAGCCAGAAAATGCATTGCTTTTATTTGAACATGTTGCTGCAAATTATTTTGTATAATAAGGTCTGCACAATATAAACTTCAGCTCTAATAACCCACTCCCACAGGAAAACAAACAAAAAAATAGTATTGGTTGAGAAGCAGCAGTCAGTCTGCAGTTATATCAAGTAAACTATTACAGCATCGTTGTGCATCAGGAGCCCCCGGTGGTGCAATGGGTTAAACCCTTGTGCCAGCAGGACTGCTAACCGGCAGGTCAGCGGTTCAAATCCGGGAGAGCGAGTTGAGCTCCCTCTGTCAGCTCCAACTCCCCATGCAGGGACATGAGAGAAACTTCCCACAAGGATGTAAAAATATCAGAACATCTGGGCATCCCCTGGACAACGTCCTTGCAGATGGCCAATTCTCTCACACCAGAAGCGACTTGCAGTTTCTCAAGTCGCTCCTGACATGAAAAAAATTGTATATTGAAGTATGAGATGTTTTTGTTAATGAGGTCAACATTTGCTGTTATTTTCCCTCAATCAAATGATTAGCAAACTATATGTACTGGTTAATATTACTCACAAGGAGGTATGCAATATTAAATACAAAAGAGTATGGAATGATCAATGCAATCATGCCATAATGTTCCCTTTCCTCCCAATAATACCTGAATTATATTGAAGAGAGATTAATTTAAATGGCAAACATGAATAAGATCCATCACACTCAGAGGCAGCCTATGCCATTCCCCAACAGTTCTTACTCTAGGAAGTTCTTCCTAATCTTTTCTGTTGAATCCCTTTCTCCGCCATTTGAAACTATTGCTCCCTTGTGCCCTGGTCTCTAGAGCAGCAGGAGGTCAG